GTTAAAGATATTATTCAAACGTCCAATTCTTGTATCTCCACAATAATCATTCTAAAAATTCAATTTGACACAATTTCCCAAAAGCAAAGCAAATGACAAGGAAAGTAATCTTTAGATAAGGAAAAACGTAGAGCACCATACTTATCTTCTCAGAACTCCACAGTCCTGTTCAACAAAGAGTATATATACGAAGGTAGAAAATCTTTAAAATATCAAACATACACTAAGTTTCACAAACGTTTTCCACTACAAAAATATAACGCCATATTTGAAAAAATAGACGTAGGTTAAAGAACCGCAAAGCAGAACGTACCACATTAACATTACGTCAACCTTCTTCAGCGTAAGCTGCGTTTGTGAAAAAAGAATGAAGTAACGAAGTCGTTATTTCAGTTTGCTGGTGCCTTTTCTCTTTTCCTCTTTCTATTTCAACTCAAACATAGCGCACTATCAACAAGATTTCATAGGACCTGGTTATCACATTAATGACTGCAAAACAACACTCCAAATCACAGAATTGAACCTGATATCCCAACCTCGTCTGTATGCCAGGAGTGCAATAGCAAATTATGGAGAATCAATTAGGAACTTCATCACAAATCTACAAACGTGGTGATTGCTATACTTACAACCTCTCAAACTTCAATATCATTTCAAAAATAAGAAGTTTGAAACCTAGCAAAGAAATAAAAGCCCTCCTCCAGAAAGAAAAAGCTTAAACATTCCGCAAAATGTTCCGATCATGACTGCAGGACTCGAAAGTCTGCCTCAGTCTTGCAACCCTTTCCTTTAGCCGTACAATCAAAATTTGCTTCGAAATTTCACCAACCATTTTCTATAAAATCACTTGGAATCGTATTGGAAGTATTTTTCGAATTTCTCAAAGGTGTTGGAGTTTTACTTATATAAGACTCAGTACTGATAAACAAATCTCACCGGTAAATAAAATTCATTTTGTTTATCAGGTGCAGTATATTTGCTAAGCAGTAGGATGCATATATTCCCTATGAAAAAACTCTCATGAACAGCTTTTCTTGAAAGCTTCTTGCTAAACAACGCTTAATGTCACTCACCTACGCAAACATCAAAGAGCGCAAGCTGAAATGTAAACAGCTAATTAACACTCAACGTTAAGTATTCGTCGAAACTTCGACTAAGTAACATCGGCGTGAGCTGGCGCCCCTCTGGCGCCATTTAGGCGGCTATGTGAGCAAACAGAGACGTTTGCAAGGCTCCACGGGTGTGCCACAAATGCGGATGAGATGGAAAAAATAACAG